CCAGGGCCCTCACACTGAGCTAGAACCTCAGCTCTTCATTTTATTTTTTATTTTGAGACAAGTTCTTGCTAAATTGCCCAGGTCGGGCTTGAATTTGTAATCCTCCTACCTCAGCCTCCCGGAGTTTGGGGATTACAGGTGCATACCACCATGCCCAGCTTATTGATCACTATGTGTGGATGAGAAATCTGAGACTTCTGGTTTTTTTTGGTTTTTTGCCTCTTTGAGACATGGCCTCACTATGCAGTTCAGGCTGGCCTTGAGCTCAATTTGTAGCCCAGGCTGGTCTCAAACTTGCAACGATCCTCCTGTCTCCGCCTCACAGTGCTGGGATTACAGCCTTGGGCCACCATGCCCGGCTGAGACTTCAGGTTCTTAACTCACTTGCCCGGGTTCATAATGCCCAGGTGGTAAATATGACATTTAAATTCATCTGATTCCAAAGCCCATGGCCTTGGTCTTGCATACCTGATTATGCAGGACTATGAAATGTATTATTCTGATGGTGTTTTCCATGGTCTATTCTAAGAGGATTCCTTTAGTCATGAAGAATTATTGAGTAAAACTAGCACTATGAAAGAGTTTTCAATTTCTATAGTCAGAGATATACCTGGCCTGTGTCATTACATGAGAGCATAATGTTTTTTACATGCTTAAAATGGTTTAAAACGTATTCTACATCCAACTAGTCCTAAGCTCTGTGAGGGAAACAACTGTGCCTTGTAACTTTTGTACCTCCATATCATGGCCTGGATAATCTATGTTATACACTACATTGTGAATAAACCTTGCTGATTGGAACAAATAAGTGGTTGGATCCTCCCTGCTAATTTAGTGCAATGTATAAGCGTTAGCATTAGATTTCTATATTAAACCATGTGCTCAACTTCATTAAAAGAAAAAGTGAGTATATTATTTTTGACAGTCTTATGTGACATTAAAATTATTATTTCTTTTTCCATTACTCAGGAGACAATGCTAACCTAGAATTTAAGAAGCCTTTATAAGGTATGTTCAGGGTCTTTTTTTTTTTTTTTGGTGCCAGGAACTTAACTCAGGACCTTGCACTTGCCAGGCAGGTGCTGTGCCGCTGAGCTATATCCCTGGGCCCCAAACTCATTTTCTGACTCAAAATATTGATGCATTTTTAGAATTTCTCATGATAATGTGTAACTGGGAAGATGGCCTCAAATTAAACAGAAAACAAAATCACTTCCTGGTCAGTGCCCTCATTTCCAGTTCTTTGCCCTCAACTCTGTTTTTCTTTTTACTGATATTTATGCCTAAAACATAGGACTCCCTCTAAGTAAAAGAAATTCTGAGAAACAAGAAGAGCTTCAGAGAAACACAGCAGCAAAAAAACCCCAAGCAAACCTCATGTGCCTTCTTGTCTCTTCAATTATTAAAAATAATAAAAAAATGAACTCTTCATTATTTCTGATGGTACATAGCAGCTATGCGGTAAAAAAGTCAGGACTCTGAAGTCATACCAGAAAGTAAAACAGTTCTGAGATTGTATATTCCTGTTTATATATATTTATAAATAGGTCTGATATTATATATTCCTATTTATATACTTCTAAATAGGATTATTATAGTTTTCTATTTATATATTTATGAATTCTGAGATTTACTTTTCCACTTATATATTCTTAAGTTATTTTGGGTGAGCTAATATTTAAATAGCAAATGAGAATCATATCCATCAGATACAGATAGGAATAACTGGTAGTATGAAAAAACTACAAATAACCTTACAAAGTGAATAATCCATAGATGAATAATTGAGAGTTGATATAATAATTGAGGTTTATATTGATAACTATACAGAATAAATTCTGCTTTGTTTTATATTTCTTTAGTGCTGAGGATAGAATTCAGGCCTCATGCAAACTAGGTAAGCATTTTATCAGTAAGCTACACCCTCAGCCCTGAAATGTTATTTTTGATAAATCTATAGCTGTTTCTACCATTTGGCCAAAAAAGTCTCTCTCTTCTTTTGTGTACTAATGATTACTTTCAGAGAGCATGGAGTTATATCTGCAGCCCACCTCCTTGCCCTCCCTCCCTGCCGTCCTTCTATCCTTTCTTTTTTTTTTTTGAGACAGGGTTTCTCTAAAATGCCTAGGCTGGCCTTCAATTTGTGATCGTCCTACCTCTGCCTGAGTAGCTAGGATTACAGGCATTGGCTGTTGCACCTAGCTTGTAAACCAACTTTTTAAAATTACTAAGAGAGAGGTACCCAGAAGGAGGGCCTCGGGC